CACCCACTCCAAATGCTGCTGTGTTCTGGGCACCGTGCGGCCGCTGTGACAAGTCGTCATTTAAGAAGTTAATAAACAGTCCCCCTTTTGCAGGTTATCCAAATGCTGCTGAATAGAAAACCTTGGACCTAAATGATGTGTAATTAAAATTATTTTTAAAATCCTCCTTGACAGGCCCTGGCTTAGCCAAAATGTAAATGACATTAAAGAAGACAATGAATTTAATTTTATTTAATGTCCCTTTTTGCAGATCCTCATTTACATAGCGTTTTTAACAAAAGCGTTGACCTTATAAATGCTGGCATTTGTTCAGCTTCTGTGGAGGTGGATTTAATCACGCGCCCGCGAGGCCATGAGGGAGGCAGCTCTGCCTTCTCTGGTTGGAGATGGAGCAGGAATAAAAACATTGGGACTGGTCAAATGTTTATCCTCCCTGCTTCGGAAAACAACCTGACAAAAAGATGTAAGGGGCTAGGGAATAACCCAGCGCTGTTTGTAAGGCTTGGTAATAATCGTACATAATCGTTTGGAAATATAGCTAATAAAAAATATAATGAGTGTTCAGCAAAATCGGCATTAGGCCCAAATTACATGATATTAATACTTGAACAGGTGCAGAAAGGCGCTTTAAATGAGGTAAATGAATAAAATGTCCCAAAGCACAACTGTGTGCGCTGACAAAAAGTCAATCCCATGAATAATTCAGCGAGGGGGACTGCCAGCAAAGGTCGGCTCTCTTTGACCTTTGTGACAGGAAGTGAAAGGAAACACTGTTGACTAAAAAAAAAGAAGAAGAAAACCTCCAATCAGCCCTGGCTCGTGGGCCCTACAGTCACTTTAAAGGCGTAAACTTAAAACGTGGCGCGGGAGGCGTGGAGGGCCAGACGTGGGGTTAACTCGGCCGGCCGCAGTTCCCTCCCCTGACCAGCCACCATGCGAAGGCGCAGACAATGGGAGGTTAAGTCAATAATATTCTTCTACAGCCCAGTGTCAATTATGTACAAAAATCTGAGGTCAGCCCAAAAGTATTTTAAGAGCCCACAGGGTTGAAATTTTGTAACAGCTGTTAAATATGACAAAACTGCCCCCCCCACCCCAGCTATTCCAAACTCTGTAAGAAAGAAATGGAATACACAGATGTCTGGCTTCCAGACAGGAAAGTGGGACACACTCGGAATGAGAAGTCTCCCAAACTCTATAGACTAATGCCAGATTTCCCGGGGAGGGGCGCAGCCTGCCACAGAGCTACCAGGGAGCGGGATGCCCGAGCCGGTGCCATCTGGAAGCAGCCGCAAGCATGGAGCTGCACAGAGCCCACCGCGGTGCTGGCCTGCTGGACAGGCCCCTGGCCCTGTTCGTGCCCCCTCCAGTATCGGCCCTATCCCTCTACAAGAGCTGGGCCAGCACCCTCAGGTCCGCTGGGGCTGAGTGAGAGGAGCACACGCTGCACCTCGCTGGGCACACCGAGGTCCTACCGAGCCAGGCTGGATGGCACGGGGAGGGATGGCAGCCAAAGTGTGGTTCTGGTTTAGCAGCTCCACCAACATCCTGTAATCATTTACAGCCCTTGGAATGCACGGTGAAACAGGAGAGATTTATCTGTTCATAGCTGGGAGATGTGGACAATGGGTGTCCCTAATGAAAACCATCTGCTTTTGTGTTTTCCCAGAAAACATTATTCCACTAGGGAAAATGATACTCTCATCCATTTCAGCAACACTGTACAAATATGCTTATGGATGTGCGTGTGCATACAAACACACACATACGTTCAGGGTACGCTCAAAGGATGGACAGATGTCCATATCTGTGGTTGCAGACACACGCCTGCCTGCCAGTGTGCATGCATGTGAACACGCGTCTGTACATGCCTAGGTGTGAACCAGGGTGCCCACACCCCCGTCTTTTCCTTTCTCTCTGCAGGCTACCGGTTCCCACAGCCACGGTTCCCTCTTATCCCCCTTTCCTGACCACTCTCTCTGCTTTACCGTGTCACGTCTCTCCTCCTCAGGAGTCGTGATCTTATTTTAAACACGGTGTGGAATACCTGCACACACAGACCTACACAGAGCGTTCCCCAGCCCTGTGCCAGGAGGTAAGAGAACACCGCTGGTGTCAGAGAAGTCGTCACCACAAAGTAAAAGGGCACTGTGATTTGGACACCCTCACTTTTACCCTTTTTTTAACTCAAGTAAGGCAGGCTCCTGGAAGACAACGAAACTGAACAGGTAATGAACTGACTCAGGGTGTCAGCGTCTATGAAACAGGCTGCTTCACCCCACCAGGCGAGCACCAGCTCTCTGTGCTCATAACAGCAGCATCACCACCGGCCGGAAGAGGCGCCGAGTGGGCCGAGAACGGGCCCATTGATCTCAATTCAGGTTGGAATTATTGGTTTATATCCTCAGGACAAATATGCCTTATCTGGTCAAAACCTGCTAAACGTATCCAAAGGCCAAAAGGAGCCGGCGAAGCACATTGTATACAATTCTTTTTTAAGTCAACTAACCGAGTGACGGCATGGCTGACGGGACCCTGTAACGAACGCGCCAATTTGATGGCATGTTTTATTCTGCAATATTGCAGGCGGGGCACCGGCGGAAGGGCCACCCGGGCGCCTCACCGCAGGAGGAGGTGCGCACCCATGCCAAGGAGCAGAGTGCGTAGCACAAACACACCTTGGCTGCAAAGACCACACCACTCCAAAAACACCAAACACATCCCCTCTGAGAGGGGCTTTTCCTTCTCTGAGAAACACAACTTGCCCATTGAACATGAAATGCTTCCCCTTTTCCTCCCCTCTTGTCCCTGCCCCTGAAACACGCCTTCAACTGCAGAGAACACCGAAGCCCAGAGCCATTTCCCAGGAAAACGCTGACAGGCCTTTGCCGTTACAAGTAACAGTTCTCTCAAGAATGCTAAAAATGTGCATTCTATTTGTCATCACGTACGGCTAGCCTTACCTTAGAATCTCTAGCATGGAAGGTGATTACAATTCCTATACAATCGTCATTCTTTTGCGTTTAGAAGCAGAGGTGATCTTCATCAATAATTAAGACTTGCAAAGCATTTGTGCAGGCCTAAGTGGAGCCTCCATCCTCCTTATTCAAATAAACACGGTAAGCCCATTAACCAAATGTTTTCACATTTCTGCCCTCCTCGCCTGCTTCTACCATTTGCCTGCTGCACTCGTTTCTTAGGTGGCGAAGGTATAACTGATCTGAAGCCCTTATTTAATTAATCAACTATAAGACAACATTCATTCAATATGAATTAAACAGCACATTTCTGCATAGCTTGAGAAACTATATCCCACTGTGTGATTAAAAACCGAAGTATCAGAAGTTACTTAGTTCCGAGAGTGAATTAAAAAAAAAACCCAAAACCAACAACAGGATGTTACACAAATCTAAAGTGGCTCTGAAGAAAACACCCCCTCTAAAATGTCAAGACAGCACTGCTATTTCATGGCTGTGGCTCAACCTCAAGATTTAAAAACAAGACATCCTTTCAGATTCACAGACGTCACAGACTGAAGACAACTCAAGAAAGACTTGCACAATTTTGCATGAAGAACCAACATGTGCTCCCTTTTAAAGCATCTTCGACTCAGACAAGGTTCCAATCACTGCTCACACACTCTGAGCCAATCACAAAATAAAATAAATCCAGTTACAGGACAACAATCCAGGGTTGTGTGATTTCCATGGTCACAACACTAAAGACAAATATAATTCTATTGATTTTTGCCGTTTGAGTTCTGTAAAGTGTTGAACTTGTTCTCAATTGTCTGAGTGACGGCCACAACTGGTCAACCCGATTTGATTACTAATAAGAGAGCTGTGTGTCTGTCAGATACCGAGCATTCTCCACTAAGCAAACAGCCATCCCAGCTACTTAAACATTAGCACTGCTCTCCACTGGTGGCGCATATTTCTTTAGGCTTAACTCATGGACTTTTCCGGATTTAATTTTTCAGGCAGTGGACAGCAAAGTTCATGATCAAAAGATAACTTTGTAATGAAACCTGCTGAAATTCAACCCCTCTTCAAAACAGTCTAAACTTTTACTTCACAAAACTGGTGTCATATGTACACGTCTAGCATTTATTCAATTTGAGTACCAATTTCAAAATTTGCAGTCAGTCTCACCCTGGGCTTTTTGCTGCTTCCCATTGTCAGGAAGAAACACATTCTGCTCCCCAAGCCACCCAAGCCCAGGGCTCCATGAACCTAGAGAGGAGGCTGTTGGGGGTTTTGTTGTTTCAACCAAAGCCAGGCCCAATGCACATTAGCAGATTAGGAGTGCTGATTAGCACCCCGAAATGATGAAGGTGGCCAAGGAGTATGATAAATAGCAAAATGAAGAGCAACAAAACGTAAAGAATGCATAGGCCGATCTAGTTATGGAAATTAATGCTACAAAATGTAACCAGCATGTGCAATTAGGTTCAATTATAACAACTTTGGTTTGTTAGTTACATATTTGCTACCTGACATAAACCGACAGCCACAATTGGAAAAAAAATTAGGATACATTTTGCATCTAATTGACAGCAGATTAAATTCATTCTAACATTGGGCAACAATTACACAGGAGCACACCACCCAAGTCTCACTTAAGGTATCAGATGAGATAAAAAAAATAATGCAAAAATGAAATACTTGTTAACAAATTAGCAAAAAGCATTTTATGGCATATCTCTGGGTTTAAAGCCAGAAACTCCCTAGGCATAAAGCGCTTCTCACAGTGAGAGCAGCAGCAGACGAAACTGCTTCCCCTGACAACTCGCAAGCAATTACTGAATCCCCACAGAGCCAGCCACCGGGTTTCCAAGTCAACCCACCTGTGCATGATAGCACACGCGGACAACAAATGGTGCTGAGCCCAGGACAAGCTCAACACCAGGCTCAAAAACATGGGGCCACTGGAAGCCAAGCAAGGCAGGGATCCCTTGTTACTGGGGTTTTGTTTTCAAAAAATAAACAAGTCAGCCTTACCTGTCGATGATTACAGGGTCTGAAGGTGTCTCGTTTCTATTGCCACAACTTTTCTTGTCACAGCACCGACTGCAGAGCAAGGGTAAACAGTGATTTTAATATGCGCTGCATCCTTTCACGCCCAGCTTGTCTGATTTGGGCTTGGTTTTGAAGTCTGACACTCAAGCAGTAAGTCAAGAAAATAGTTCTTGGACACAGATTGTTGGGCAAGTTCAAAGGCAGTAAGTAAGTGTGTTTTGCAGCTAAACTTAAGCTACAACTTTCCTTCAGAACGATCCAAGTTGGACATATCTGTTAATAGGGGAGGGTAACAGAGCTACTGTATAAATCGTGATGCTAAAATATGGAAAACATGTTGTCGGTGCTTGTCTTTGCAGTGAACTGCAGAGAAGGGGAGGCAGGAGGCTTGGGAATAACTTTTCACAGCTTCAGCTTTTGTTTACCTCTAATTGTCAAGCTGTTATTTCTGGAAAAGATGCAAGATGCCACCTTCAACCAATATTTCTTTTGGGCATTTATTAATTATAACCACAAAAGCATGCATCAATCTACCACAAACTCCTATTGTTCCTTCTTTAAGCCTACCTTAACTCCGTTATTGAAACTTTAATTAAAGCAGAAATGAAACAAAAATGTTATGCTTCTTGCATTTTAAAAAAGCATACTTGTATAATGGTTACATGTCTAAATTAGCTAAATTAACACCATATGGTAGGCAAAGTATATAAAGCCTTTTAAAGCTGACAGCCAAAGTGATTAAAGAAAGTCTACAGTCTCCCACTTACAGCTTAAATCACATCTGTGCGCTTTCTATGTTAATTGCAGTACATGCAGAAGTGGATAATGAAGAAATTCCACTTTATTGGTTGTAATTTATATTTATTACCTGATATGAGAAAAAGTCAGCTTTTGTATATTAGTGCTGTAACAATATGTCTGCTCAGAAATGGCATTTGGGCGATCCGCATCATAGCCAGGCAGACTATGCCCCTCACCGTCCGCGCCCTGCTACTGTACCTACCTGCCACTCTGGCAGCATCTCCACGCTACTCCTTGCATCTATATTTCACATGCCACATACAAAGTCAATGATGCATTTTTATTTGCCATGTAGGGGTGAAACTCTTGTGGTAGTTAGGAAAAAAAACCAGGTGGGAAATTGCTCTTCTGACAGAGCTCTCGAGTGAGGCTCCATCTAACAACCGTATGAAGGACGCATCGCTGCTCCGGGAAGGGGGTTAACTGACACGCTGGTCCAATTCTCACCCACGCGCGCCCCGCAAGAAGTACAAAAGAGTTTCCTTTTTATCATAACAGGCAATCCTGCAACTCAGGGGGCCCTCCTGTGAGAAGGGAGTGGTGAAATGCCTCCTGACTTCTCCGGCCTGGAGGACAAACGTATCACCAGGACCTGTTTTCATTTTTTACTACAGGGCAGCGACACAGCCAACATATTAATCCGCGGTCCCGTCACCACTCTGGCAAAACCGGGCGGAGGCTCCCGGGCTCAGGCTCGGCCGATTACATTTCAATCGATGCCCCAGTTGGGCGGGTGGCGGCGCCGGGAAGCCGCGGCCTTTGTGGATGCAGCTGGCGCCAAGGCCCCACACCCCCTGCGCCCCGCGCCCCCTGCGCCCCGCCGCCCGCTGGTACTTACTTACCTGCACATGATCTCGTGGGTCAGTAGGACGCGGCACATCTCCGGGTTCTTGTCCTGGCCCTCGTAGACGATGGCCTGGCAGGGCGACAAATAGAGGCGGGGTTTACGCGGTGCCCGGGATGTGGGCGCCAAGGGCCCTCAGCATTGGGGACCTAAGCGGCAGGTGCACAGGCTGGCCAGGCCAGCCGCCACGCCCCACCCAGGCCACCCTCCTGGCCTGGTCACCAGCAGGGATCCCTGGGCACGGGGCTGGGCGGTGTGGGCCTTTCTGAGTCTCCGACCAGGCCTATGGCGTGCGCCCCAGGGCCGTAGCTGCAGCGGGCAGGGTGGCAACGAGGAGGCGGCCTCGGCTGGCTGGCCGTAGCGGGGCCTGCAGGCAGGGGCGCCCGGGCCGCGTCCCGACCATTGTCCACAGTGACGCCCAGCCGAAGGTGCTGGTCGCCGAGGCGGGCAGCTCGCTCCGGGCCTAGGGCGGCTCGGCCCTGCGCTCCGGCTCGGCCAGCAGCGGCTCTCCGCGCCCGGGAGCCGGCGAGCCGGGGGCTGGGCCGGGAGGCTCCGCACCAGGCGGCCAGCGGGTCCCACCGGGTCCCACCGGAGCGCGGGCCCGGGGCGCCAAGCCGCGCCGCCACGTGCTCCGTGCCGGCTGATATTTGGAAAGAAAGTGCTAATGGCCAATCTGGTGTTTATTTTGAAACTGCTAACAATGATTTTTCTCGGGTAAAAAGGCAGTGTCTGCACGCACGCTCGGGTGGGCTTTGAGCAGAGGCTCTGCCAGATGGCGCGGAGCTAGTGCGCTCCGGGTCGGGACGGAGCCGGGCCGCCGCCGCCGCCGGACGCCGGTGAAACCCGAGCCGCCAGGAGGGCGGGGGCGCAGGTCGCGGCTGAAAATTCCACGGGAGGGGAAGGGGAGTCCCCGCTCCAGCCCCCCCCTCCCCGGAAATTAGCTGGAAATTCCTTCCACTCTCCGCAGGCACTTCTGAGCCTCCCTCCACCTCCAGGAGCACAAAGCCTTTATCTGGAGAGCCAGGAAGAGGGCCGCGGAGGCCCAGCCTCCCTCCAGGCCCCGCTAGGAACCCAAGAAGGATGGGTGTCACCACAGGCCAGGCAGCGTCCCCAGGGCCGGCTCCTGGGAGGGGCAGAACGCACTGGCTTCTAACAGCCCTGGCTTGTCTTGGGATAGATCCGTGTTTCTATTTGATTTATTTTTTATTTTGTAGCGAAACAGAAATCCATAAACTGTCCGTTCAGCGCCATTGACTGTTTGATCGGGTACTGGGCTCTTTCCCTTTCTCTCCCCCTTCCCTGGTCAGTGAAAGCAGATTAAACGCCTTCATTTTCAGCTCTGTTTATAACGCAAAAGTCCAGGCTAAATGAACAATACAAGTGTCCTTAAAGCGAAGCCTCTCCTTCTGTATGCAACAGGGCAGCCTGGCTGGGGCTACACAAACCTCTCCACAGACCACTGCCATGCCAAAGACATTTCACCACCACAGACCAGGGAGAGACAGACCCCACTCAAAAGCCAGGCTCCTCTGAACCGGACTCAAATAAGTCAGTAATTACCGAAGGGCACATCACTCGTCTTTGTCAGAAAGTGCAGTTTGCCTGACAGATCTGTTTTGCTCTCACAGAAAACCAGACTTCGGCACAAAACCGCAGCCGACTGCTGCTGGGTGCCTGCAAACTTCTTTTCAGAAGAAGGCGATCTGTACCCCCCCCCCCCCCCGTAGGTGCTGAGTGGGAGGCACGTGTAGCTGCAGGAAGCACCCGGCTCTGCTCCACCGGCTTCCACTTCCACTTCCCAAAGTTCAAACCAGAAACCCAGCAACTTTCATTCCCAGGCCTACAGTCCTGGGACCACTTGGGGGGATATTCTCAGTGAGCCGGTGCCCCGAAGTTTTCACTCACATGCAGGACTAGGCCCCCCCCCCCAGAAACCGTCCATTTCAGAAAATGGGGAGTGGAGAATCTCTTAAAACAACAAAAATAACAGCATGCCGCCCAGCCCAGAACCACCAGGCCAGAGGGCTGCAGGAGCGTTCCTGCTCTTAATCACATTACTGATCGCCAATAGTTATCATCGGAGAGCTGACCAAGACAGCTCCAATAATTTAATAAGGAACTGCTTGTAATTGTGTTATTTACAAGGTATGACAGGGGGCGAGGGGCAGGCGCTGCTCCAGAGCAGTGGACGGGTTTGGGTGGCCCTTGGAGCTGGGCGTCTGAATTATGGAGATGGGGGGCTGAGAGGTGAAGATGGACTAGGGAGGAACAAGATGACTTCTCACCCCAACACATTTAACTTTCAAATCCAAACAAACGGCTCAAGGCTCCCTTTGGCCGGCAGAGCCGGGAAAAGGAACTAGTCAAGTGCAAGTCTTCGAGCCTGGGAGAGGAATTATCTGCCTTTGTTAAAAGGGGGGGAAAAAAATCAATGAAATGACTCCAAGCAGAGAGAAACGTTCACAGATCAACAAGGAGGGGGGGAGGGGAGAAATGTTTCTGTCAAATATTAATTACTAAAATTAATTAAGACAGAATTTGATTCCAATCACAAGCCATTTAATAAAGCATATATGTCCTGTTCTAATGACAACATAAACTCTTTTACCAATCGCTTCATTTATCCCAATAAATATGGAATTCTAATTGGCATGTCAAGGAAGCAGAATGAAAAACAAATCCAGGCGATGCATTTTTGTCAGCTCCTGGCAGGGGACCCAGGCCGACCCCAGTCTGCAGCCATAGCCGCGCGAGGCGAGTTCTCACCTGCTTGGTCATGGAATCTATCAGGCGGACATAGAGGTCCTGCTCCGTCCGGACTCCTGCGAACAGACAAAAAGAACTGCGCTCAGGCCCCGGCGAGCAGCGGGGTGAGCGGCCCCGGATCGTGGGGCGAGACTTGGAAGGCCAGGCCCGGAGCCCCCCCCCCTGCTCGCTCGCCCGCCAGCCTCGCCTCCTCTCCTTTTCCTTAACTAAGAGCCTCAAGGCTCGCAGGGTTTGCTTCGCATCGAGAGGGCCTTTCCGCGGAGAGCACCCCCAGAGAGCAGGCCGTGCTCTGGGCTGAGCCGCGCGGTCCTTTATTTTTAGAAAACCTGGCGCCCAAGTAGCAGCGCAGCCTGAACTCTCCGGCGTCACGCGAGGATTTTTTAATTCGTGCACCGGAAGTAAGTTATGCTCCGTTTATGGAGCGAGCCCCGTCCCAATAATTAACATTAATTTGCAAAATTGAAAAAAGTCACTTACAAGTGATGCTCGGTTGGAGCTGTATCGATCCCTTTTTACTTCCTACTGCAAACCCCACCGGTTAATCATGTGAAGTGCCATCGACTTATTGATCGCTTATGTTTTGTTTTCCTTCTATGCCATGAGAAGATTTCGTGTTTACATCCATGTCATTTTAATCTCAAAACCTTGATGCTCTCCAGCCACGCCGGGAAGGCCCGGGCGCTCGGCACTTACCATTGCTGTACAACAACTGCAGTTTATAGTGGATGCCGTTGTTGGTTTTCTCGTTGTTTGGCTCCTGAAAGTAACGAGAAAGAATTACATTAAGTATGAGCCGTGGCAGGCGCGGCCCCTGCGCTCGTCCCCGTCCACGCGGAGGCCCCTCGGCCTCACACAAGCGGGACCGCAGCTGGGGCAGCGTGGTGATGTCACCGGCCGCCAGGAAGCCGGCGTCCTGCTCGCCTCCACCGGGGCCGGGGACGCAGAGGAGCGGCCACCCGGTCCCGACAAGGGGGCCCCGCCGCCCCCCGCCTCCAGCACCCGGAGGGCGGGAGCGCGTGTGACACTTACTTTCTCTTTCTCCACAAAGTCCACGAACGCCGTCCTCTCGATTTCCACCGGCTGGCCCTGCCGGTCGTAGAGCGCCAGCACGAAGTGGAAGAAATTGGACTTGCGGAGGTTGGAAGGCGGCTGCTTCTCGAAGTGCGCCCGCGCCAGCCCCACGCCGCTGCGGGAGGAGAGAGACCGCGGCCGGTGAGGGGC